TTGGATCATAGCTCCCAAACATATCAACCATGCCACATTCTCAGCTTAAAAACAGCGTCTGATGACGCTGATGTGGCTGTGCACAGAACTGGCACAGTTCCCAGATTCATCTCTAGCATTCCACCTTCATTATTTCACTAGTCCAGACAGAATCTACAGCTTCTAGAAGAGTGCCATCTTCTGTATTAATTATACCACTCTGTTTAATCTCCAACAATATACATATAATAATTAAAGGCGGTAGTTATAATTCTCCAAGCACATGAGGCTTAATTAAGGTGCAGGAGCCTCAGCCTTCAAAAGTCTGAATTAAAACAAGACACCCAATTAACAGACCACTGATTATCTACAAAAGATAAAAGCAAAAGATAGTGAAAGGATTCACTCACCATCATACCTCCTTCAAAATTGAAAATAGTTGCATCCCATAATTTCTATGTGAAATATAACTTGCAAGAAATGAGTCAAGAAAGTGAATATGTGGACATACTCATCATTTTTCCGCAATACCAGTGCCTTTGCTTTTCTTAGATGGGCTAGCTTGACCTTCTCATTCAGACTTCTCATGCTAGCAAGTTCTGAAAATATTTTCTTGTTGAAGAAAACATTTCAGCATTCCCTGCTAAAGTACCCTATTCCTGCCTTCCTTTGTAAGTAACTTCCCACAGTCCCCAAATGCCCAGTTTTCTTTCCTCCTTCACCATACATTCCCTCAGCACTTCATAAAGCAGTTGCCATTGAAGTATATGCTTTAATATCTGCTGATGATTTATGGTTGAAATTGCAGTTAAAAATGCAGCTGTTGGTATCAGACAGAACTGAATTCAAATCATAGTTAATTAGTTACCAGATTTTTTGATTTCCATAAACAGTTTGGCTTCTCCCTATGAGAAAACATGCTGATTGCTACCTCAGGAATGATTCCAAAAACAGACCTCACCATTGGCACAAGGCCTGTCCAGCATGAACATATATGTTCTTAACTAGACCACAGTTATCATTCCAGGAGTCTTTGGGTCTGAGTGCCAGGAGGTAACAGTGGTTTTATCAGAAGGAAACAATATCTTTGAGTCCACTCTAGGTACAAGGGTAGACCTCTTGGAGTGAGCCTAAATGTTCCTGGTTAGATAAGTCCTCCGCCATTGTATAGCCTTGTGTCTGTTCATCAAGAAGAAAAGGGGTTTTTGGTGGGGAAGAATAGATCATTACATGGACCTCATAAATAAAGACTAATGTATATATATTTTTACTGTTTCCCAGATAGGGTTTTTCTGTGTATCCTTGGCTGTCCTGGACTCTTTGTAGACCAGGCTGGGCTTGATCTCATAGAGATCCACCTGCTTCTGTCTCCCTGAGTGCTGGGATTATAGGCATGCACCACCAACTAATGTGCTTTCTAAGATCATGGTGGTGAAAACCAAAGTACCCAAAAGATCCATTCCATTTTACAACAGAGTCAAGACTTCTCAAGTGTAGGAACTCCACCAGCCCCACATGAGAGTTGGCAGAAATGTAGAGTCTTGGCCTCACTCCATGCTCATGAATGAGATGGCAGTGGCCTATGTCTCACCAAAGCCCTATGCTGGCCTCCAACATTTGAAAATGTGCTTGTCAGATAGTCTTTAAACCCTGAGAATCCATGAATTATCATACTGCTCTGGGGCATCCTGACACACCCTGGATGATGTCTGTGGCCGTGTATTTCCATACTACTTGGCCTGACTTGGATGTTCAGGACATGATAACCTCAGACTGGAGATGTGGCTTTATGGCTGGCACCATGGCATCAATGAGATCAGTTTCATTAGAATTACTCCTCCCCGTGATTCCACTTATTTCGACATGACTTAGCTTAGCATTTAGTGATTGTCCTTTTGAGTGTAAATTATAAATACTTACATAATTAATAAGAACTGCCTTCATCTTATTTTTCTGTTTTTGTTGAGTAAGAAGCAAAGAAAAGAACATTTAAGACTTCTTTGAAAAATCAGGCAGATTTAGAATAATTATCGTGTTTGTTTATGTTTATGTATTTAGTTGTGTTCTATTTTCTATATTGCAAGAGCTGTAAGACTAGGGGCCTAGTGAGGACATTTCCTGGCACAGAGTGAGTGTTTTGGTTGCCATACTTACTGGTTGAGTGCCATATTAGAAGACTCTGGTGTGTTTCTATATGACAAGTGGTATGAAATTCTTTTCCTTTTTTCAGCCCTTTTTGGGGAAAATTAAAACTGGAAAAATGAAGCCTTGTGATGTAGGACTCCAGTGTCCATCTAAGCACCTTTCTTGTCTTAACTTCTAGATGTGACATTTGTTCTCTTATTTACAGCTGACCTTACCTGCTCTTTACTCAAACAACTATAAGATTATCTTGCAAGGGATTAGAGAAGAAATCATGGAATTCAAATTTAAATTTGGCTTTCTTCTCTCTCTCATAGAGGAAGCCTGCCGAAAGCACAGATGTGCATTCGTGATCGTCCCAAACATAATGCCTTTTTAGAAACTGTAAGGGGTAATGTTCTTTTCTTTTGATTTTCCCCCTCATTAACCTTTGAGTATTTATTTTAAAATCATGACTACCCTAAGAGAAAAGTGGATCAAGAATAAAATTAGAAAAGCCAAAATAAATGAATGAACTTACAAAAATAAAAATAATAAGAAGAAATGCAAATAGCCAGAGAACAAGAATGACTATTCAACGCCTTTAGAAATCAAGGAATTTTAGATTAAAATAAGGTTTTGAATATTAGTTTGGAAAAAAGACAATCTGAGAAGAAAAGACATAATTGCCCTAAGTGTAAATTGTTCTTCCCTGGACCAGTGTGGCAAAATTAATCAGCCTTAAAATTATAGCTGGGTCTGGTGGCTCAGATCCCTAACCTCAGTACTTGAGAGGTAGCAGCAGGCAGCTCTCTGTGAGTTCCAGGCTAGCCAGGGATACACAGTGAGACCTTGTTTCAACAGAACAAAACAAAGTAAGAAACAAAAAACCTTATTTCTGGAAATATGCTTTTTAAAATGTCTTTTGTTTTAATGCTAGCTGTTGAACCCAACTTCTCCTAGCCCTTGCTCTAGCAAGCTATACTTCTGCCCCTGAGAATTTACTTTAATAAAATATAATTAAATTTAAATGAAATTTAGCTGTAAAAAGAAGTGAAACTCTGGGGTAGGGCAGCAGACTGTCAGCTGAGTGACCAATAAGAATAAAGCCATGACACGTGGTCTGATACAATGGTATAATTTTACAGAAGGTTTTATATATGGAAGACACCAGAGATGAGCCAAGCAAAACAATATAGCAATGAAAAGGATGTTTATTAATCACTGTATAAAAATATCTACATGTTTGGAGAAAAGGAGCTAGATGAGAGATAAGAGCACACAGATAAAGTTTAAAGGCAGTTAATTGTGGGTTAGTAGACTGTGGTGGCTCTTAAATTTTTTTACTTATTTATGGTCTCTGACTTTCCTATGTTGAATATACATACTTTTATGCTAAAAGTTTATGTGCTTTGTTTAAAATGTAAAGGTTTGGAGTTGGATATGGCGGCTCAAACCTGTAATCTCAGCATTCAGGACAAGTTTAACCAGCTTGGGTTATACTTGTGGAACTGTGTCTCAAGGCACAGAGAAACAAAACAATGCCAGAAAAGAAAAGAAACATTTTTTTGCTTTGAGGTTTCTCCAGGCAAGACCACAGGAATGAGTGAAAAGGAAATAAGTTAGCACTCTCCACAAGAAGATTCTAGGCTGGCTAGATGCAAGTGGGGAGATATTTGCATGTAGGGTAGATGAAATGAAGACACAGAATTCAGCAAACTGCTTTGAACCCCTCAGGGATCATAGAAAGCAGAGGTGATCCGAGAAAGAGGGGGAAATAGAATTCAGCCTGAGGCTAGACCAGCCAGCCTATCCTAGGGAGTCTGGAGAGCATGAGGTGGGTTTTCCTGCACCATTCCGCTCCCAGCAATAAGGAATCTTACTGCAGTGCTGAGGTACCAGTTTCATCATTGGAGATAAGCAAATTGGGCTTTTCTGTGTAGCCCAACATGCCCATAACAGTACACAGCACCCATGCTGATCTCTATTGTCTCCATGGGGAGTCTAATGGGATGACAGGGAATAGCTACATACTGTAAGGGAATAGCTACATACTGTAAGGGAATAGATACCTGCTCTATAAGGGAATAGCTACATACTGTATGAGGGAATAGACGCATACTATAAGGAAATAGATAACATATTGTGTAAGGAGTGACCATAGGACAGAGCCCAAAGTGGTCAGGTGATGACAGCCAAGTGAGATTAACTCAACGCTCTGGAGTACTAAGATGAGTTTTAGAAATGTCTTTCTTTGGCATGGGGTGCCTCAGTGGTACAGTGTGTGCTTAGCGTGTGTTTGATCTCTATCACTATCACTGCTCATGGAAAGCCTTCACTCTACTGCAGTTCCTTTAGTGACATCGCCTGATTCGCAGAATATTTTGTGTTCTAAAAATTGTCCCTGTGTGTGTGGAGGGGGGCGGGGGATGGCTGTCAAAAAAGTGAGAAGCAGGAAGGTGAACAGAAAAAAAAAAAAAGACCTAATAATCAAATCAGATAAAGACATGGTTCGCATAGATTTACTCTTAATAAAAAGACGTGATTAATTTTTTTCAGCCGTAGAATAAATACTGTAAGCAGAAATATGTAGCTTGTCACATTGGTAGCCAGCAAAATAGGCAAATTCAAAACTTTACCATTGACAAATAATGTGTCATCGAGGGACTCTTACTTTAGTGTACAAGCGTGTGTGTGTGCATAGGTGCATATGTATGTGTGTGGCGTGTGAGTGTTTTGAGCCAGGGTCTCATGTACTGGCCAAGGCTGGTCTCTGCTACAAGGATGACCCGGAACTCTGGATCCTCTTGTCTTTACCTCCCAAGTGCAGGGATTAGAGGCCTGTGCCTCTCCTCCTGGCTACCACCCTGCTAAGCCCTTTTTCTCTTTCACTGTCATAGCTGACTACAAGGAGAGCTTCAACACCATTGGAAACATTGAAGAGATCGCGTACAATGCTGTTTCCTTCACCTGGGATGTGAATGAAGAGGCAAAGGTTAGTGAAACCTACCATGGCTCTTAATTAATGAAGACTCTTGTTCAAAACCCTGTGTAGTGTTTTCCTAGAAATTTGAGTCAAAAAGAAGAAAACAAGCTTGGTCCCTTTCTTTTTTATTTATTTATTTAGTTATTTGTTTATCTATCATCTCTGTATCTATCTATGTATCTGTATGTATGTATGTATCTGTCTGTCTATTTTGGTTTTTAAAGACTGAGTTTCTCTGTGTAACAGCCTTGGTTCTCCTGGAACTCTCTTTGTAGACCCGGCCAGCCTTGAATTCACAAAGATTCAACTGCCTCTGCCTCCCAAGCACTGGGGCCTTGCTATATTCCCTTTTTTAGAGGATTCATGCCTTTGTCCTTTTGTTGTGGGGTGTGAGCTTCTGCTCTGAAAAAATTTGATGAGCCACCATGTTGCCCCTCCTCAGTTCTTCAGGCCACATGTTCCAGTCTAGAACTTGCATCTAACACTTGGAGTCTTGTAAGCCCCTGGCTTCTCTATGCCACCATCAGGAAGCTTGTATCTTCACAGTGAGTGACATACAGCTTCAGAAGGTGAAGGAGCAGAGCTCCAGAAGTAGGGCTTCCAATCACCTTTCACCATGATGACTTTGAAACACTTCTTTGTTGACTGACCCTCTTCTGTTTCTTTGGGTGTAAGTGTAGCTAAGACGTGCAGGGGTAAGTAATGTCTCTGACAAACAGGCATCAAGGACAGATGCCTGCCCTACCTTGGTTTGGATAAGGAAGTGTTTCCACAGATAGCCCTGTTTGCTCTCTAGCCACAGGTCTGTTTTGAAGGCCCCAAAGCCCATTCTGGGTCTCAGTATCTTATTCTTCAGCCTCATTTTGCACTTAAAGGATGTTTCAGATAAAACCTAAGCTTGTTTTCTGCTTCAGTTGTGTGCCTGTGTACCGGCTGGAGAGTGTTAGAAGACTTTGTCTTCCATCTCAGGAGGAGGTCAATGCAAACAAGGCTGTCAATGCTTTATTGTCCTCAGCGGGAAGGCTGGGTGAGAGAGGAAACTGGCTGGGAGTTTGCAAGCAGGCTTTCCAGAAGAAAATGAATTGCTCAGTGTCTCATTCCACTCGAGTATAAAACAATGTAGGTGAAACTGGCTTTAGGCCCAAGAAAGCTGACCCAAATGGGCATTCAGTAACAAGTCAGCAGTGTAGCCTGGAGAATGTTCCAGAGAAGGGGACAGGCCCTACTACAAGATGCTTCACACAGAACTTCAGGCAAAATGTGTCTCTGGCATGCCTGCACACACCATGTGCTCTTGGCTGCCTGAGACCTCTCCAGCTCTCTCCCCACTCCTGAGACTGTCACAGCTTACTGAGGTTGTCTGCGCCATTCCACGGCTCCTGCCACCTATCTTACTTTAGCCTGTGCTGGCCCCTGCTCTTTATGTTTCTCTTTGAGGCTAGACTGTTGCACAAAGGGGGTCTGTGTTAGGGCACAGTACTGGGATGTGCTGGAATCTCTGGCAGTCAAAACAAATGTCTCTACAGGCATTTTGCTGGGTTTTGGGTGATATCGATCCAGCGAGGGATCCAGTAACCAATCAGCAGTATGACCAGAGGGAGGCCATACCCACTTCATAGTTACTGAGAAGAAAAATGGGATTCTGCCACAGAAGATGTCCTAGAGTGTTAAAGCTAGCTCTAAACACGCACCACAGTCCCCTCGTTTTTTCAGTATTACAGTCTGCTATAATGGATGGTGGAGACAAGTGACTTAAGGGCTGTTTCAGTAGGGACCTTTGAAAGAGAAGTGGACATCCCAAGAGACAGGTTCCATGGAAGCTGATGGAATATTTGGGGCTCCGCTAGCTGATCTTGCAGCCAGTTCATTCTATACCGCTCACTTGCCATATACAAGTGCTCACTTTATGTATGCATGGATGGATACATGTATGTCTGTGTGCATGAGTGTGCACATGTGTGCCTGTCTGTACGTGAGTTTGCACAGGTATACTTCTAGGCACACATACTGGTTTTCTATACACATTGGCAAATGGTCTTGGGCAATATTTTATGATACTTCCTGCAGCAATGTTTGTTTTATTTCCTTAATACCTATTTTTAGTGAATGCCTTTTGTTTTAAGTGATAAGTAAGTTTTTTTAATGTTACAAATGGTTATTACTGATTTTATAGTAAGTAGACTGCAAAAGAAACACTAAGATAGCAGTTGTGGGAAAGACTGTCAGCTGAGCAGGGAGGATTGGTGATATCATACAGAAAGTGTTTTCGGGGGTTGCTGTTGCGTTTACACCCAACAGATATCTGCAGGCTTCAGGAGGGGTCTCAGCAGCTCAGTCTATATCACAGGATGTTTGGGATTTTTTTTTTTTTTTTTTTTTGGTGGCCAGAGAACACAGACCTGTGGTCCACAAAGCACATGTGGTAATATTGTGCATTTATGAATTATTCTAAATTTTAACATTTTCATCCATGTTTAAAAATAGTTTTTAGTTTGTTTGTAACATTTTTTTTTTTTTTTTTTGGAGACAGGGTCTCCCTGTGCTGCCTTCTGGGGTGTGGGATTATAGGCCTAAAGTGTAATACCAGGCTTCGTCATTATCGTCATCATCACTATTGTTGTTGTTGTTGTTATCATTATTATTATTGTTATTATTATTAGATGCAGGTTTATGAATTATTTTGATAATTAAGAATTCTAGAGGCCCTGGGCCTAAGTTTGCAAGGTTGTAAGTGACTTTCATGATGAAGTGACTTTCCTGACATTATCCTGGTGCTACTCTGTTCTGGAACTTTCTCTGCCCAGCCCTGGGTATACATTTGAATTTTTATGCACTATGGCATCCACCCGAGGTTCAGGTCTTTGCTAGCTTTCAGTGTTGGGAGGTAGCAACACAATGAGATTTGAAATGTTTCTCATGCGTATGTGCCAAGTACTTTACCCACTGGGCCTTCTCCTTAGCCCCTCTTCTAACGTTGTGTTTATTGTGTGTATGCGCACACTCCTGTGCGGTCCTGAAAATTGACCCCAGGACCCCATGTGCTAGGCAAGTGCTCTGCTTCCGAGGACCTTACGCAGCCCTGCCTCTTAGCCCTGCATCTGTCTTTCCTCTGGAGCAAGCAGGAAAAAGGAGAGGACACAACACTGAGTCATTTAGCTTCCTTTAATTATGGGAACAACATTTGGCCAGGAATGTGCTCAAGTTCTCAGTGAGTGCAGGTGTGTGTGTGAGTGTGTGTGTGTGTGTGTGTGTGTGTCTGTGTGTGTGTCTGTGTGTGTGTCTGTATGTCTGTGTGTCTGTGGCTCTGGCCATGGTCCCAAGCTGGCTGCCTGCTTCAGGCCTAGTGGCTGCAAGGTTCCACCTCTCAGAGCCGGTTTTTCCGGTTGTGCCACAGTGGCTTTCTGTTAGGTGACTCAAGCAGGCTTGGACAGGACCTGTTCCCCTCAGGGTCTGTGCAATCTGGAGGACCATGCACATCTCCATGGTGTGTAGATGGTGGAGTTCTGAGTGTCCCCACTGTCCCCACAGGTGGGCATAGGTCCCGGCCAGTGCAGCAGAAGGCACCTGCAGTGAGGTACAGTTGTGGCCTAGACCTGGCACCAGAGTTTCCAGCATTTGTGTTTATTTTTTCTAGGGACAGGGGTGGTTTTGAAGTCAAGCTGTGTGGCCCAGACTGGCTCAAAATTCACAGCAATCCTCCTGTCTCAGCCTTCCAAATGCTGGTATTACAGGCATTGCCGGCTTCCAGCATCTCATGTCCCCTTCCTCAGCTTTATTTGCCGAGCTGTGGAATGGTGGGGAGTCAGGGTAAACACTCCACAGATGCCTGAGGTCCCACCCAGAGGGTTATGATGGGACAGCTTCTGAGCCATACTTTCTCACATGACTCAACCTGCAGGACATTCCGATTTTAAGTTTCTCTTTAAAGTCAAACACTGGTACTAGAAAGCAGGTTTGCCAAGCACAAATCTCCAAGATGGTGATTTCCCACACAAGACTGTTGAGTCATTCAAGAGTAGTGAGTACTGACTGGTTCAGAGCATCTCTGCGGCGGTGACATCACCCACACGGTGCAGCCCTAACTGCAGCTCTTTCTCAGGTTTCCAGGGAGAGTTCAAATGCCCCCTGCCTCTTCAGTGTTGCTCTCTCTTCCATAGTGATTCCAAGGTTAACCTAGTCCCTGAGTGCTAGGATGTCTGTCATGGAGACCATACAGGAGACCAGCATGAGCGTTAGAGTGCTGTAGAGTTCCTTGCGCTCTTTGCCTTGTTACCATGTTAGGAGACCAGCACACCACACCCTTTGTTTTATGTTTGCGCCTTCCTACTCTAGCAGATGCTAGGATGAGGGAGGTCACCTCCTCCCCAGTCTTTAAAAAAAAAAAAAATCCCTCTGCAGCCAATATTTTAGAAGAATCTTAATTCAGTAAAACATATTTCTCAATAGGGATTGAGCATAGCAAGAGTCCTCCCTCTTGATTAGTTTCTTTAGGTGTACAGATTTTAGTAGGTTTATCCTATATTATATGTCTATATGAGTGTAATCCCTATCCAGAAAGGCAAAGAACATGACCATCAGAAGAAGGAGAAAAGAGGGAACAAGTCAGGAGCCTGCCACAGAGGACCTCTGAAAGGCTCTGCCCTGTACACTAGCGAAGCAGATACTGAGATGGCCAACCTTTGGGCAGAGTGCAGGGAATCTTATAAAGGAAGTGGGAGACAGTAAGATCTGGAGAGGACAGGAGCTCCACAAGGAGAGCAACAGAACCAGAAAATCTGAACACAGAGGTCTTTCCTGAGACATACTCCAACCAAGGACCATGCATGGAGATAACCTAGGACCCCTGCACAGATGTAGCCCATGGCAGTTCAGTCTCCAAGTGGGTTCCATAGTAATAGGAAGAGGGACTGTCTCTGACATGAACTGATTGGCCTGCTCTTTGATCACCTCCCCCTGAGGGGGGAGCAGCCTTACCAGAAGAAGAAGAAGACCAGAAGAAGACAATGCAG